CTTACGTAGAAACTCTGCTACCTGTTTGCAAATGTAATCACGCAGCACAATCTGAATTCTTTTACAATTAAGTCTGTGGATATTTTTTGTTTCATCTTCCCAGCTGATCGACTATGCCAAGAAAGGAGACACAGATGAGAAGGCGATGAAAATGGCCAGTTTTTGGCTCACGGTGCGTGTTTGCAGCTCTTCATCCTTGTGAAGGTAAAAGCTGAGTAATGGAGAGGAGTTTGTTTGAAGTTTACCTCCTGCTCCCTCTCTCCAGGAAAAGGATCTCGTCCCGAAGCTCTTTAAAGTCCTCGCTCCGCGTTTTGAAAACCATTCAACTGACTACACGCGGATGGCTCGGATCCCCAACAGAGAGAACCTGGACAGAGCCCAGATGGCTGTGTTGGAGTACAAAGGCAACCCGTTTCCACCTCTTTATCCTGTGAAGAAGGAAAATGAACTGACTCTCATCAACCAGCTCCTCAAAGGCTACAGAGAGGAAAGGGCGAGGGCAAAACTGTTGGCTACTGAAGCCTAAATACTTCCATGTTTTTGTTTTCTCAGGTTGTAGAAAGAGCCTCATTACATCTTCACATGTCCAGTTTTAAAACTCCAATGTGATCTGAAAACAAGAACTGATCTGTAAAATAATAATTCTGATTGTGATAATAAAGTTTAATTTTCCAAACTAAAGTTCCAGGTTTGTCTTATGTCTTCACTGTTTGAGTTTAAATTAATGCAGGTTCTGGTCATGGATCTTCTAAAGAAGATGAAAACTGCTGTTGCATAGGCATTTGTTAAATTTGAGGCAAAAAAAAAAAAATCAATGAAATCGCCTGCTGCTAACTGTTGCATGAAAAGGTTATTGATTTCCAATAAAATGTGTCTGAACCTCTTTAAAACAATTATGCACAAAATAATCTGATGAGCTTTGAACAGTTAAACAGAGGATTCTGATAATGAGTTGTAAAACAGGGAATTTGGGCTGTGGACAACAAATTCTGCTCCCTTCATAAAGGTTGATCATGAGTGAAACCACAAAACCATCACACAGAATTCAAATATGTGTTTCCCTATGAGTAAAATAAAGTTACAAAAATAGTTAAAAGTTGAGTGATGCAAAAAATGTTCTTTCAGTCTTAAAAGCTTGAAGTTTATGCATTAAGACACGTCTAGCCTTTTCTTACTTGTTTCACCTGACATTATTTTTTTAGTCGCTCCTGAAATCTTAATTCCTGCTGTAAGTGAATGTCAAAAATAATTTTGTATCAGTGAATCTGCAGTACTGTTCGGTTCCTGCAGTTCCTGTGCATGCTATTTTTTTTGTTGTATTTCAGATCTGCAGGTCTCATTTACCTCAGTTGAGGTTAGTATTCCTGATTGAAGAAGGACAAAAAGGTTTAGCACAAATTCTATCGATGGAAGAGTTAAAAAATAAACAAAGGACCATATCAGGTCAATATAAAAAAGAACATTGTGACAGATCACAAGACCTTTCAGAAAATATTCTATTCACTGATGTAAATCACATTATTATCTGACATAAAACCAAAAATAATTTTAGCAAAGGATCAACAAACTACACAAACATGGTGGTTGAAGTGTGTTGGTTGGTGAAGAATAGAATGAAGTCCACCTCTGAATAAATGAAAAATAAGGAGTTTTGACTGGCCTAGTCAAAGTCTGGTCTTAAATCTGATTGTGATTTTGGGGCCTGACCTTAATCAGGCCTGTCACACTTGAAAAGCCTTCAATGTGGCTGATTCAAGATGATTCTGCAAACAAGACCACAAACAGCACCAGAACCACAGTTTGAACATCCTTAATTTAAAAATTCTCATTTTGGTTCTTAATTAGCTGTAAACTAAAATCCTTGACAATCAAAAAAAAAAACAAAAAAACATCGCACTGTGTAATGATTCTACATTGTATTTATATGAGAAATACCTTCATCTTTCAAAGAGACTGTAATTTTTTAGGAGGCAACATTAATTATTTTATAGCGCTTAGAGTGTGGAGACAAAAAGGTGTATTTAGTTCAAAATGATGACAAAAACTTTCCCTAAAATGGAAAAAAAAAAACAGGTTAAAGGAAGTCTTTCAAATATAAATTTAGACTGAATCACAACAGAAAAAAAATAAAGATCTAATCGCAGGACATTCACTGAAAGCTCAGTAATAGCTTTGGACAGTTCAATTAGACAGATCAACATATCGGTAACGACTGCAAAACATTTAGGTCTGCGCGCTTCAGATCAGGACGAGCTGAAAACCGTCCCTAGGGCGTTTTACTTTAATAGACCCTCGTAATGAGAACAAATCCCAAACACGATAAACAAATATCAGATCAAGTGTTTGGACTGGTGCCTTGGTTCCTCACTGGAACGCCACAGCTCCCAAATCAACACAGCAAGCAAATAAAACAGCCAGACAATGCTTTAAATAAAACCATATTTTAATTAGTTATTTTGAGAAAAAGGATATATGTACAGCATCTTTATAATTAATATTATTTGACACCATTAAAATGCATCTGAATGGTGCTTTTGTGATGTGCTCTTAACCAGATCGCTCTGTAAGCTGTGCTGTTCTCCGTCATGCACACATAAATCTTTTCTTCAAGTTCTTTCTCCACAACACTTTATGACAAATCAAACGTGAGCATCGACGAAGCTTAAGCAACGTTCCGATATCAGTGCGCCTCCCCCCGTCTCTCTGTGTCCGTTCAGTCAAGTCATGGCAACAGCAGACAAAGTGGCAGACGTGCCAAATACAAACCAGACATATTCAGAAGCAACAATTAGTATTCAAGTATCTGTCAGTTTCACAAAGTTACACTTCTGGAAACACTCCTACAGGTTATACACCACAGTCCTAACATCGGTACTCCATGACAACAAATTTCCCACAGATTAATCTCACGGCTCGAAGCTGAGCACAACAGTTTCTCTAATTCAAGATAAAACCACCGGATTTGTTTCGAACAAAGCACAAATCATTCCCCAAAATGTCTGAAAAACCATTTCAGTCCATATTTACAAGTAGGAATAATTCTCCATGAAGTGTGAATACAGGTTTTTAAAGCAGTCCTATAAGATGGATCCGCACAAATAAACAGACCAAGACCAGGAACATTAAAGTGCTCCATGCAGGACAGACAAAATGTACAGTTATGTTGCTGCTTTCACAGCTTCTTCTACAAGACTTTTTTTTTCCCAATATAAGGGGATAAAAATTTTATGAATATTTGTTCAGCTTTTTGCACAGCTTAAACATTAAGGTGTAAAAAGCCAACAAATGTAATGATTTATGGTTCTGATACAAGACGGGTGAGAATAAAGTTCCTTCTTTAAAACACTGAAGACAGAAACAGCCTGTTGGGTTTCTGCTTGTTGAAACCAAGAATTGAAAACAGCAACAAAAAACAGGAGGTTATTTGATTTTAGTTTTAAAATAAAACATATAAAAGTGAAATGCAACCTTCTATTGTTTTGTAGTTGAAACCAGAGGAGCAGGCATTTAAATGTCATCCTTTACGTTAAAATAATTTAAATAATCAGCAAAGAAAAACAAGATTTTATGTCACAAATTAAAGAAGATTTGATGTATTCTTGTCCAAATAATAAAAATATATACATAAGATGTTTGAAGTGGACAGAAGGACCAGAGCCTCCAAGTATCACGACATGCAACCATTGTAGTGTTGGTTGGTTAAATAGGAATGCAAAGTAAACTGGTCAATTGCAAATATCTTAGGATTTAAATATAAATCATATAAAATTAAAGTTACATTTCTGCTCAACTTCTTTTCACTACGCAAGACAAAAAACGGCTTACATTTCAATTTAATATGCTCTTAATATTAAAATCAAATCATTCAATGTTAGTCATTCCTGATTTTTTTTTGTTCATTTTTTGAAAATCCAATTACCAAAACATGCAAAGGCGTCACTGTTTTTAAAATCACAGAATTCCCATTTTGATTGAAGTCTGTCCAAGAAGAATTAACCAAATAAAGTTGAAATCATGACTTGTGACTAACTTCAGCGTCACCCCGTCCTTGTGCTGTATTGAATCAGTATATTCACTAACATCCACAAACACAGACATAACAGTTAAAATCAGGAATATTCTGCACTCCAGTGAAACTAACCAAAACAGCCCAGTATAAATGATATTTTACGAGGCATGGGCAGGTATTCGGCTTTATTATTATTATGGACAGCACTGTCATCAAAACTATTATGTATCTTTAGGGTGCTCTGATTGACAAACCAATGAAAGGATATGCTGAACAATAGAGCTTTACTTTATACTGTAACTGACTTATGTCAATTTGTTCAAGATTTTAACAAGGTTACATGGTCACTTATAAATAATATTGTCACATTGTCAATGTTGTTGATAAACTATTCACCGTCTTTCTGTCCATAACATCATTTTAAAAGACATATGCTTTCAGAGCTGTCAGAAGGAGTGTATTAGGTTTTCTAGCATCCATTTCTAGCAGAAGTTTTAGATATCTCTTTAAAATATGAAAGCAATTAGAAAATGTTTTAAAAAGACATGAACAGACAAGTTTGCTGACTAGCAGACACGGATGATTTTCAGTTCAACCGGCTCAGATTATTCCTGTCGGAACTGAGAAAAAAAAAGATCTTTTTGCTGACCAGTGGTGTAACAACACTCTTTGGTAAGGAAGTTTAAGAACTGGTCTTTCACATCTTTCTGTAACCATTGATCTCCACAAATGATCAAAGCTACAAAGTTATTTAACAACCTAAAGCAAAAAGATGCAATTGTTAGGTAGATGGATATACATTGGAGTGTGAAACTGCAAAGATACAAACTGGAGAGTCCAATCAGTGTTTCTAGTTATTAATGGTTACTAATCCTAACAGTGCTAAATATTAATAAAGGTGGTCAAAGATCTCTCAAAATATCTCAGATAATTATGTTTTAGTGTTAAAATAACAGAGAACCAATTTTTACAGCACATTCTCTTTCTCTTTCATACACACACATACAAGCACATAGTGACATTACCTCCTCATTGTACATAGTTGTAAAAACAAGTAAATTTTTAAACTGTTGCAATTATTCAGAAAATTTGGAATATGCTAAAAGTTATTTACAGCATGTCGGATGTTTACAAAATCAGAAATGACCCATGAATAGATTGTGGGCTCTCTAATTTTAAATATTAAGTTTAAACATTTCAAAGTATGTTGTGAAACTGTGGTTTTATCTTAAAGTTACCAGAATTCAGAATATCCTACCAGCCCATGCCTACTTCTACTTATTAGTTAAAAATACTGCAAGACAGCTTTGATTTGAATAGTAATTAACAAAGGTTTTGCAGTAAAAAAACAACAAAAAAAACAAACATATTGCAGCCTATTGTATGTATTTGCAGAAGTGTGGATTTCAACACACACAATAAGCGAATATTCTATGGTCACATGGAGCACATATATCTGCCTTTCGGACAGAAAATACAACACAAACATGCATGTTTTACGAGTACTGTACTTTGGGGTTTTTACAGTTACACATCAGTATATTGATCCAGAAAAACCAGCTCCAATGAGGACTTATACAGTAAGAATATAAATAAACACAACATACTCCATATACCATAAATATATCTAAGTTTTATCAAAAATGTCTTAAACATAAAAAAGTTTTTTTTTCTTCTTCTTCTTCTAATGTATTTTAAACATAAAGGCATGGGATTTCTCTGTGGTCGAAGCACCAACTGGAATGTCATGTTTAGGGGAAAGAAACCATGAATTCATTTCGTATTTTGAAATAAAACTATTCATAATTGTTGCTCTCAACAGTTTTCGCTATTTACAAACTCCTTCAGGCACACCATCAAGTCCTCATGAATTTTTGAATAAAAGTATTTCAAGAATTTTGTTCATTTCCACATTGTGCACAGCTATCATTCTATTGCTCTGGCTACATCCACTTTGTCATCTCTCTCCCGTGTGCCTTCAACTGGTCAGCATCAAATATTTATTGCTTCTTTATTCTTTTACAACCTCAGCATTTGCGTCTTAGCCATCCCCCTAGCTTCTCCATACAGGTCATTTCCATTTCCAAGTTAAAAGGACCATTTAGGGATTTACTTTTGTGATGACTTCTCATGTATGTCCCTTCATGTATAATTCTTCTGTTATTTAGGATGACCTTTTTCTCTCCCACCAGCTTTGTAAATTCTGTCTGCAGCCTTCATCCTTTCTGCTGCAGTCTTTCCCGCTTTCTCATCCACTTCATGCCTTCGTCCCAAAGCCTCCTCCACCGCCGCTCTGCATGCTGAAGTACTCTGTGAAGGATGGAAGTCGAGGGGGCATTGGGGGAGAGCGGGAGGCGGGGCGTGGGGGTATCGGAGGTGGAGGTGGGGGCAATATCATGGTTAAGTCTGCAGCAGTGGTAATAATCTTTTGTTCGCTGTTCCTCGGCACATCAGGTCCTTTACGAGCAACTGTCTCTTCCACGGTCTTCACCGGATCCTGGGATTAAAAAACAAACAAGTTTTGAGGCATCATTTATATGATAATGACAACAATTCATACAAGAAGATACGCTAGGCGGAACAAAGAAACCCTGGACTTTCAACACTCTCAGCACTAGGATCTTCTGACAAATTGAAAACCATGCTAATTTACCTTTGAGAATGTTTGAATGGGATAAAATAAAGACTTGGTTATACAGTATATACAGCAGGAAACTTGCATATGGATAATCAGCCCGTCATTACCCTGAATCTATGAACTAAAAGTACCTCATGCAGGAAACTGAATCTCACGATAAGCTGGTATTTACTCTGAAACATTACAAACCCTAATTAAAAAATCTGGAAACATAATTAACTGGAATTTTATTCTTCATCTGGATCAACAGATTTCACTTTTTTACAAAGTCTTTACAAAGGCTAATTCTTAAGTCTTGCCACAAACAATTTTAGGTCAAATTAATTTGTATGTTTGGATTAGCTTCCGAATGAAATCCTGCTTTAAAGCTTCACAAAACGTTATCTCTAATCTGACATTTCAGTTCCTCTGCATTTATATTTGTTTGATGTACTCTATCAATCTTTACAGAATATTAGATATGGTACATAGAGATTACATTACACACAGGTGGAACCTATTTAGTACTTATGTGACTTCTAAGAATGATAGGTTTCACTGAAGTTTATTTATTTAAAAAGGAACATCACATACTGTAGAAACCAAATTACAATTATCTTTGTTTACAAAGTTGGACTTTACATCTTCTATCCATCAGTTAAATCTTTTAGATGTAGTTTGTAGATTTCAACATCAAATTAATTCCCAAATTTACAACACTGAAATTTAGATTTCTTCACTTTATTAGAACTTAAATTAGAAATATTTTCACATGGAGAATTTTGTTCTGTTCAGACTTTGTAACATTACTAATGTGGTAATTAAGCAATATAGTATGTCACGTATCAAACACATTATTAAGAAGAACATCAGAACCGGTGGTTGTAGCTTAAGAAAACGGGGTAAAGTCAGTACATCCTTATAACTACTCTTTCTCCCCACAAAATTTAGTATTGTTTTAAAAATCATTTTTTTAAAACAAGAAAATACAAACAGGGCTTAAAATAGCCTGTTTGTTGCTACATTAAAGAGGAATGCTGTAGCTGAGAATGACGGCTCTTTTCTCTCTCATCTTTATGTAGCGTAAAAAAGCAACACCTTCAGAGCTGACAGTAACCGAAGCAAGACAATTCATCAGAGAAAACACAACAACTTAATTAAGTCTTGCCAGAATTTCTGCTCACACTTATATTTAATTCCACTCAAGAGTTTTAGTGTCAGGCATATTGTTATGTAATGCGTCATCCCTGGAGGAGATAAGTATTTTGCTGAGAAATAATCCTTGAAAACGTGCTCCCTCGCAAACTGCGTTAGTGCCCCAATCGCTTTCTATTTTCAGGCACTTCTGTTCAATAAGACAGCAGTTAATTTCAAGCTACGTTTGACACACAAAAAGCATCAGAAAATGAGTACACTAGAGCCCTTATCTAATTAAATGTAGCAAGCGCTGCAAAATAATAGGGAATTTATAGTGGATATTATATAGACAGTACATGTGGAGTAATATGTATCTCTTTATGGTTTCTGGTTCTTCCTTTTGTTTTATTAGTTCTCAAATGAGATGTTCTGGACTGCATATCGACCACTCAAATGAATACAGGAACACACATCACATTTAGACTTACTGATTGGATGGAGAAGAGTTCAGTGAAGTTAGGTTGAGAATCTCCAAGGAAGGAGCTGTTCCCATAGGCATGGTGGGGAAAGCTTTCCCCTCCCTCGCCTCCTTTGGGGCTGGACTGCAAGATCCCAATCTGGGAGGTCCGAACATGATACGGGAAGTTCTTGTTGGCTGCTGATGGTCTCGTTATGACCTAAAAAAGAATACATTTATGAAGAAATATAAAAATTCTTCAACTTTTATTCAAGATAGCTTTGGGAATATGTCTATAACTTATAAGCTCTAGGTAAAGACAGAGACATGAGAGGTGTGTGGTGAGGACCGGAGATATTTGACAGAACGTTACAGCCCATTAGTGAAGAACACTGCGTTTAAGGTTACAAAGAGATGGATAATGATGTGTGGAGGAGACGTTCCCGAACTAGAGTAAGAACTCATGGATTGTCAATTATGTATGACAGGCTGTGGCAATAATGACTCCTGAATAACGCTAGCTCTAAAAAAGCTGTGGGGCTCCGCATGAGCACGTGCGTGTGGTACGAACAAGGAAAACGATATGAGCGTAGAGGTGAATGCCGAGCTGAATGCCGTTCACAATCTTCTCCCGAGCCCATCGAGGAATCCCAAAGTTGGCGATCAGAGCCATCACAGGCACGGCGAAAAACCTGAGGAAGAAAAAAATAAGAGATAAGAGATAAGAGAGAGGAGGGAGAACATTAAAGTAACTGATAAGAGTATGGTTTGATGGTGAGAAACAGAGAGCTCAGGGAGTAAAATATGTAAAGTGCTCAGAGTGATAATGATGGAAGGAGAGAAGTGGATAATGAGGCAGGGGATACTTGCTGCAGTGAGTGAGAGATAATATTAGTCTTTGTAATCTCAGCTTCATTTTAAGCCACTACTATTAGAAGCACTGGTTGAAAAACTGAGAAACAAAACCATCTTTAACATTTTTGTCTTTTTTTTTATAAGATCTGGCACATATGGATTCTTACTAATGTTTGTGCCTCTGTATTTTATGTTACAATCAAAAACATCAGTGAGTTTTATGGTATGTTATATGATGTATGACATATTGTTTCTCATTAGTGTGGCATAGCAAACAGAATTTCTTTTGGTAATTCTAACTAAAAAAGAATGGTGTATGTATCACTTTATTCAGACTATGTAAACATCTGGTTTCAACTGTATGGGTAATGTAAGGAGTTGGAAAGTTGAGGAAAACTTTTCCAATTCCATTTTTACTTTTTATAGAAAGTAAAAATGGTGAATTTTCCTAAAAACATTCCATCAAATATTTGTGGGAATGAAGTGGGAGTTTGAGATAATTTCATCCTTCCATTGGGAGAGAAAAATTTTATTAAAGTGCATCAACTTTTGTAGTTGTAATAGGACAAAATGTGAAACAAGTTCAAGAAACATTTTTTTTTTTTACAGGCATTGCATATTCTCACACATGGAGTCTGAACAGCTCATTAATATAGATGTCCTCCAGCTATCTCTCATCTGGGAATAATTATCTGCAACATAAGACGAGCACAAAGTTGGGACTTCCCCACCTCAAGCACCCGCTATCTGCTTTAATTTTTGTTTTGACTGAACTACATAAATAATTCAAATTTAAAGATCATAGAAAAAAAGTACATGCCTCATCAGCTCACATGGTGTAACAGTCAGTGACAACTGGAGATGGTGTCTTACCACAGAGTGTATGTGGTGAAGAAAGGGACGTAGAAGGGCTGTTTTTCAGGATAGTGTTTCAGCGAGACCAGCACGGCGTAGCAGAACCACACGTAAGCGACCAGCTGCAGGCCCATCAGGCCGTAGCCTGCAGGGCTGTCATAGGCATAAAGCACCTCACCTGGGTCAAAGAACTGGCACAGGAATATGAGACGTTAAAAACAAGCAGAACCTTTAATACAGAGAAATGTGCAGACTGTGTCCTATTTCGTAATGATGAATTGCTCATGGGTTAGCTGATCTGCCACGGTCACCGAGCCAAGAGCAGCTAGTTCCAGTCTGTGCGAAAGTTTGACATTGACACTTCTCCACATCTAGGGCATCGGCATGTGTGCTCACAGCTCTGTCTGGGTGTGTGTGATTGTATGTTTGCATGTGCAGACAATGGATTGTATTTCACAATCCAGTGACTGGATACAGGCTCTGACTTTACACAGATACTCTTGCTGCTACATAATGCATAGTGTTAAGAGTTTGGTATGGAGATGTTCGAGATGCACTCAGCCAACCAGAGCCTTCAAAGTGACTTCAAACTGCAGTCACAGTATCTGGTCCAAATTTCAAGTCTTCAGTTCCGTTCCTCCTCCAACCTAGTTTTGCTTATTTTAGACCGAGTTCCCCAGAGTTTGAAGCTCTTAAATAGCAGGGCCTGTGCAAAAGGGCAGGCGGCTGATAAATCATACCACTTCAGAACCACATATTGGAAGAGACGGTTGCATGCTTCAATATCAGAAATAGCACATATACTTCTGCAGCCTTTTTCTCCTCTGGGGTCATTATCACCCTGAATTCAAAGGCTGTAATCCACCGTTTCTAAATGGGGCAGGGTTACATCTGACTGTGCAGAAGCCTTCTCTCTGAGCAAAGATATATGTACTACTTTACGCTCCTCTGTGAATTATTAATTCATAAGATCATGTGCTGGTTAAATGTGTTATCCCCTTTAAAGAAGATAAAAAAAAAACAGGGGGGGTTACAAAGATTAAAGTTTCCCTGATTAGAAAAATCCAACTTTCAAAGAAATATATAAAGATCACTAATCTGGTATTTACCACTGAAAGCAAATATTATAAAATATAAAGTGCATAAAAAGTTAACTTTTAATAAAAAATTTTATATTCTTTACTTAGGAAGCATGCTTATTCTTCTAAGAATTTTAAATCCTGATCCAAACTAATTTTTTATATGTTTTGCGGTCAAGTTGATGCATTTGTATAATTAGTAAAATGTCAATGTAATGAGTTTCTGACAGAAAAAGCCATTACAGCCCACGCTCATCTGCAGGGCACATTCTTTCATGAATATTTATGAGATTATTGCAAAAAAGCTAAATAGAGCTTTAACATATGTGGACATGTTTTGCAGAACCTTCTGTGGAGAGGAAACTCACACTAAATGCACCAGTTTCTGCCTGTGTTTGTTAGAAAGGACAAACACACAGGCAGAATTCAATAGAATAGAACAGAATAGAATAGAATAGAAATTTACAATCTGTTCCAACTGAGGGTTCATCAACAAGTATTTTCACATACTTACGTAAACCTCTCAATAAATACTAAACTGAGAAACCATGTCCAGGAGTCAGTTTCAGTGATACTTTGTGGAGAAGAGGAACAAATATAAATCCCACACATCCATATATTTAGGATTTATTTGACTGATTCACATATATTGGGAAAGCCAGTGGTGGGACTGTGCTTTTTGAACTCTTCTGTTGAATAGTTAGCATCTGTTGACTGAATCTAACTGTCTATATACTATGTCTGACTGTTACAAACCATAAAGTACTGACCATTGAACAACTGGTAAAAAATTAACTTCACGAATTAATTTTTGAAAGGTTCCTCTCACTAAACAGTATAGAGTTTCTCCGTTGTGTGAACTTGGAATTACGCATTATTAATTCACAAAAAAAAAAAAACTATGTGAAGTGTGAAAAAGCCAGAGTTCAACTCCTTGCAACAGAGTGAGATTGAAGAGACGCAGATCTAAATGTCAACAAGCTCAATGCCACCACCATAAGATGTTTAGCAGGTCCACAAACACCATGATTATCATCCTAATTAAGTCTGTGAACAAACTAAGAGCCAATTAACAAATCAGTCCTGCTGGGTTTTTTTTTGTTTTGTTTTTTTATTTGTTGATGACTATTTAATTGGTTCAAAATCTCTGCATCCTTACTCCTTATCTGGCTAACAGATTTATTGTTCACTGTCCATTATCTGTTTAACAGTGTAATAAGCAGAAGTAACTAATTAGTAGCTGTCAGACTGCAGTTGATGCCACATAATTTCTCATCTTGCCATGTTTGTTGCTGTATCTAAAAATGAGTTTTATGGGGACCTAAATACTTAGAAATGAGGCACACTTCGTGAAACATTAAAACCAACTACATGTACCATGTCTGTGTAAATTTTGCTGATGTGCTCCTTCAACACATTTTGAGCACATTGGGATAAATAGACAACAAAAAAAAATCTGTGTGCTACAACCTACCTACCCACCTCTCTCTGTCTCTCCCTCTCTGTCTATCTATCTATCTATCTATCTATCTATCTATCTATCTATCTATCTATCTATCTATCTATCTATATATCTATCTATCTATCTATCTATCTATCTATCTATCTATCTATCTATCTATCTATCTATCTATCTATCTATCTATCTATCTATCTATCTATCTATCTATCTATCTATCTATCTATCTATCTATCTATCTATCTATCTATCTATCTATCTATCTATATCTATCTATCTATCTATCTATCTATCTCCCTACAATTTTCTACTTGAATGTTTTTGAATGTGCAAACAGTTCTTTATGACCATCTATAACAGCAAGAATTTCTTATTGTGTAATTTGTTTTTATTACTATTTTTACTGTCTTGCTATTCTGTATTTGCAGTACCAATAAACAAAGCAGGCACACAGCAGCTTTAAACCCTTTTTATATTATTTTACCATATAAACACCTTTTTTCCTTTGAGGTTTCTTCTTAATGAACATAAAGAAACTTAAGTGTTTCATTTCTGATACCATGTCCAGGAGTTTTCTGCATCAATAGAAGAATAAATCTGAAAAATTGTGGTTCATCTGAAACATTAGTTTTGAGTTGTTTTTTTTTTTCCTGCAGTAATATTCTTCTAAGCCTTTTTCTTGGCCCAGTTTAATCCTGTTTCTTTAAGCAATTCATCGACTGAAATCAGTTATTCTGAACATCTTTAGATAAGATACAGTTGCTTTAAGCATTGTGTGAGGAATGACATTATATTTAACGTAACTTTAATTAACATATGTATTCTACTCTATAAAATAGCCTGACATGACCTTTGCTTTCATTTGGAGTTAAATTAATGAAGTGAATTTAATTAAATTTTGTCTGTGAAACCTCGGAACTGTAGCAAGCAGGCGTTCTGGGGGCTATTCTCTGGTGCCTCCCTTGCAGCTTTGAAATTTTTATGTTTTTGGAGATTAGCATTTCTGATTCACTCTGGCGGCTTCCTTGTTTTTGCCACATTGGAACAGAAACCAGAAACAATCGCCCCAGTTATGCAGGAACATGTTCAATTATTAATGTGCTTAATTTTTATTTCAATGCATAAAACTAAAAGTTGTTATGAGTCTTTGTGGCTGTGTTTTTGAAGATAGTATTCTATTCCTGCAGTTAAAGATGCTAAAAGTTCAGACCAGCAGCGATGAACAGAGCAACTAAAGTTTAACCACTGATTTATCTGAGTAAGAATAAACTAATGGCCTTGCTGTTAACTATAGAACTGCATGTGTGTGTAGACAGTGCAATGTGTACTGTACCTCTGCTTCATAGATGAACAGGATAACATAGGTGATTGTGTAGACTGTCATGTAGATGCTCAGCTTAACAGAGCCACTGTGGCTAATCCTCGCCCTGCCACACAGGAACAAACCAGGAAGGTCAGAGGTCAGACAAACATTTGAAAGAAGATGAAACTCAAACACACTCAGACGCACTAAGAGAAGCACAGATGAAAGGGACAGATGCAGGTGCACACACGCATCATGCATCTGATTGGTGATGCTGTAGCAGCTAGCTTAATGCATGAATAGAAACTGAACATGGTCGATCTCTGTTTATGAGTTGAAGGTAGCACATTAATAGAGCAAAATGTGGAATTCATATTTATATTTTTGAAATAAGCAGCAAATGCTAGTTTCACAGTCTAATAACATCTAAATTCCTCAGCGAGATCTATAACACATGAAATTAATAAATCTGAAAAATAAAAGAGTTTATGTTTGAAGCAATTAGTTAACCACATCCAAGATGTAACTAAACGAAAGTCAAGACCTGGTGCCCAAAAATGTCTAGAAAACTCAGTAAGCTTGTGGTTTGCTCTGTCTGAATTTTCTCAGAGAAAGATAGCAAAGAAAGAAAAATCCACAAAATTTGAACAGTGGTCAAAACAAACAGCCATTTTACCCAACATAACATTGCATCACAAACTAATGAGAACAGGAGCCGTCGCTCTATGCCTTTCCATCCTGAAAATTGGAATTTGAAAAAATGAATTTAGAAAACTGGCAGCACCAGTGACAGCTGAGCCAGAAAGGCACTTTTCCAGTCAGGTGTAAGATGGATAAATGCTGATGTTCCAGTGAGAAAAGGCACTCATAAATAATCTATTGTGCAGTCGAGCTGTAAGTCACAAGAAAATGTCCACTAATCCTCGCCAGACGAGGAGGGGAAAAAAACAAATCACCACTGGAAATATCCATCCATCCATTTCCTGTTCACCCTTATCCCTAATGGGGTCGGGAGTCGCTGGTGCCTATTTCCAGCTGCATTCCGGGCGAGAGGCGGGGTTCACCCTGGACAGGTCGCGAGTCTGCCGCAGGGCAACACAAAAACAGACAAGACAAACAACCTGCACACACACACTCAGACCTAGGGAAAATTTAGAGAAACCAATTCACTTAGTCATGTTTTTGGACTGTGGGAGGAAGCCAGAGTACCCAGAGAGAACCCACGCATGCACAGGGAGAACATTCAACAATGCTACCAACTGTGCCACTGTGTGCCAATGGAAATAATTTGACTCAAATTACTTGAAAACAATTCAACTGCCCAACATTTCAGCGCTAATATTTTCTATCCTGAGGACAAAACTGTTATGCAGTCACACTATGAGTTTAGCTTCACAACACATAACTTGACTGACACATGGCATTATCATGTTGTGATACAGGGTTAGTGGCTGTGACAATGAGTGAGAGCTGGAAGAGACACAAAATGGAAAAGACATGCAGAAGAAAAGACTAAATGCATGCATACACTAGTGGTGTAACATCTGCTTGCACAGTGATATCTTACATTATTAAAATACAACAATGTTTCTTATTAAAATGACCGTGGGGTCTTGAAGCTATATCTGCTTTCAACCTGTATTCATCTTGCAAAGTAACTATAAGCTACTATCATCTATCCAGGACATATGTTAGTGACTAGTCGTAGCCTGGAATGACAAACAGCTATGGGGAAAAGGCCGCCATATTTCTAAAATAACAAAAACAACTTACATTTCTCTGTTTTAATATGAAATAGGCTTGAGCAAAAACATTGGCCATTTAATGTATGTTCTGTTTGTAACTTGGTATTTTTCTTTCAAAACAGCATTAGCAGGAGTCAAAAGTTGAGCTGCTGAAGTTTTCACACCATGAATGTCTGTGGTTTTTGTTCATCAGAAATACTTCACAACGGCCAAATTAGCTTTTTTTTTCAGCCAGCTGACGAACATTGTGCAGCAACAGCTGGAGAAGGAAGAGTGCAGTTCAACTCCCTCCTCCATTTAATGGGAGGAAACTTGGATCATTCAAGGATTTTCTAATTTTATCAATGGAACATGAATTGTAGGAAAGGTACGATGGAAAATTTCAGTCCAATCATTTTTGAAGTAGCTATTAAGTCCTTATGTTGTGTTGACAAGGTCTGCAGAGTAAGAGGTCTTACTGTCCCTGCCAACAGCACTTCAGTATACAAGCTCCACAGAGCCTCTGACACTTTTTGTTCATATAGCCAAATTTTGGACACTCAGATTCTTCTAATTATAAAAAAATATTAAGAAGCTGAGATTTTCAGTTTTCTCAGAACTATCACCAAAGGTCTAGTTTTCCATTGGAGTCAATATCATCTACAGACTGATTTCATGAGCTGGATGCAATGTTACACCCCTAATGTGTTCAGACCTAAAAGTGTAGAAAAAGGACAATGTTCCCTTTCTCCCACCTGGTGACGGTGAAACCTTTACCCAACAGTATGAGCATCAGAAGGAACACCAAGAAACTGACGGAGAACAGTAATTTCCCTTGAGACAGACACAGAGGTGGAGAGAGAGAAGACAGAGGAGGTAATTAGGTTGTAGTTTTCGAATCTGTGACATCAGAGGGGAACAATAAAATCAGGTCATGATACACATATTGCAGACACACACACACACGGTCACATTAAGTCGTATATTATCCTGCCTATACCCATCCAACCATCTACAAGGTCCCTTCAAACATACATGCATCCATCATGGTCCACTCAACCGCTCTGCTCTGACAGTGACTGATCTTCCAGCCGGACTCTGTGTCAGTCATTCAGCCAGTGACCGATCCAGAGGGAGAAACTCACCGAGTATCTTCAGGCTGCCGTTGCCAACTCCATCCCTGGCATAGAGGCCCCAGTAGACACAATGGAACATTAGGCTGAGCACTGCCATGTGGAAAAAGATGGAGGGTGGAAAGAAAAATGAGGAATATAAGACACAGGAGGGGTAGGTTAGCAGGCGGTGAAGAAAGGGAGAGGAAGGCAAAGGAGACGTGGGATTAAAGCAGAGAGAAGGGAATAAAAAAGGAGAGTTGGGAGGAGCAGGAGAGAAGAGAACGGTTTTGGGGACAAGAAAATGAGAGAAATAAGACAGTGATAGGGAGTTGAAAGAAAGTGGAGAGGATAGCATGAAGAAAGCATCGGGGTTCATCAGTAACAAGCTTCAATGAACAATGTAGTCCTCCACATCTGCTTGCAGTGTGAAGTGTAATCAGTGTGAAGATATCTGCTCTTCAAGTGCGGATTAAGATACGAGATACTACAACAGTGAATGAGGCTCATTGTTATCCCCGGAGCGTGCACATGTGTGCATCTTGATGATGGAGGTGTGTGCCTGTTTAGGACAGGAGATCTTACCCTCCACACCTGCTGCCGTCATAAACATTTTGTAGGTTGTGTGAAGAAGCTGTCTCCCCTTCAGATTGTCTGGAGGGAGAAAAAGAAAAACAGAAATAAGGTGGTAGAGGTGTGAGTATATGTATGCGCGTCAGGGCGACAAAACAAAAAAGGATTGAGATATGCTAACAGATGGCCAAGGAGAGTGAGGGAGGTGCGGAGAGAGGGAGAAAACAGGAGATGAACAAGGGAACAGGCCTGATAAATAGGGAGAGCAATGATTAATATGCATCCATCTTGTGATGCCCATCTCCAGATGAGCCCTGATACATCTCATCTCGGTTTCCGCTACCTAATCTGAGAGGAAATATTCTTAATGCATATTTAAGCAGCCTATTTTACTACCAAAACAATGCGGTGGCTAGCAGGGGAAATGTATCAGGCGAAGGAGGATTGCAAACAACAGCACATAGCTGCTCTATGCTCCTCGACTCAATCTGTCAAGTGCCTTAAGGAAGAATGTCATCTAAAAATAAAACCTCCTACTGACATTATCACCATATGCCCTTTGGACCTATTTCTTAAGCTATTTTATTACATTTGCAAAACCCTGCACATTTATTGACACCCATGTAGGGGCTAGAGTCCATAATCTCACAGTGACAATTTCATAAAAGCCACCATTCAAACATCTATCAGTATCCCTTCTGATAATATTTTGTACATTTTTTTGGCAAAAGAATACAACTTGGTGATCTAAATTTTCCAAGGATGGCGCATACAGGGATTGTGATCTTGGACCATTTTTCTTTGTAAATTTCTCTAGATCAGGACTTTACCAACTTTAAGGCTTCTGACCTGCAAAGTAACAATTGTAGAGGAGAGTGACCCCAAATATTGATAGACACACAGAATTATAGCACAGATTTGTTCTATATAATTTTAGCAGATAATGATGCTGCAAAAAATTCAATAGTCACTATATGTCATTTAGCCAATTGTGAGTAGAAATCTCTAATTCTCTTCATACACATATAGAATAAATATCCTTTGTTAATATCTAATGTACAACATATCTAATATCTACACATGGTTAAAGGACTAAGCTTCTTTAGCCAGGTGTTGTATGCCCAGTGGATATTTACTAAATTCGTCTTGATGCAGTGAACATATGCAAAAGATCTTTAGGCAGAAGCCTTACAATCAAGTTTAATAAATGAAATAGGCATTGAGATTCATTTATGTTCAATAGAGTAACTCCGACTATTTGTCAGTTATGTTTGTTTTACATTAATTATTTGTTTTTGCACTCTTTTTGTGGATCTTTGCTGTATGCCTACGCTAGCGCCATATATTGTGTATTCTCTCTTAACATCAAATGTCTTAGGTAGAAGCAGACGGAAAAGACGGCTACAGTCTGGCATATTTACAAAGACCCACTACTTTGTGGTTTGACTTATATTTTTTTTAGATTTCAGAGTAATTTATTAAAAGGTAAAGAAATATATAGAGCAATAAATTCAGTAAATAAAAGAAAAAAGACATGCACTCCATCGTGATAAATGCTGAATCCTTCGAGAAGAAACTGCCTAGCTTGACCTTTTCTTTTCAGAAGGAACACAGGAATCTACTTCTTTCCCATCAAGAAAACATGCAGGGTTTTTTTTTTTTTTAAATAGAGCCAAGGCAAAGTCCATTTAATGATTACAGAGAGCTTCAGGAGTCAAAGTAAGTTGCCCTAAAGGGGAGAGAGTGATTATACTAAGTAGAAAAGGTAGTACTTACATGCAAAGTAGCAAGAGAGGAGGAACACTAACGTGAAGATGACCAGGAATGTGATGTCTGTCTCCAAAATTCCTGAGAACAAAAGTTGGACGAGTTAGCAGATGTATGAAGAAGTTTATGATTGGAGTAAAATAATTTAAAAGCTAACAAATAAGCAGGAGAGAAGTACGTAAAAGAGTTAAGGAAATATTCACAAAATGTAAACATAAAAACATAGAGCGAACAGAAAAAAACAAGAAAAAGAAGAAATCGAGTAAATGAATAAAGATACTGGGTAAGTTTGTGAGAAAATAGAGTGTGAGTGGACAAAGGCAATGGGGATGTAGGAATAATTCATTTAGAAGATACATGGGCATCCTATTCTCTTCATCCGTCCCTCTCAGTTCATCCATCATCATTAACTCATTCAACCATCCCTTCATTACTGCAATTTGTTCAGAACAGTGTGCTTTATTGGCCGTGCTAAGTGGTGTTAGCTTGTGCCATTGGCGATCCATTCCATAATCCCTTTCATTCTGTCTAATCATTCTCACCGAACTCATCTGCAGAAAAATGCTGCGTCCAGAAAGACTGGCCATTGGTCAGCTTCATCTCGTACTCCAGCTGCAAGCCATCGCCCTGAGACAGAGAAGCGAGAAAGAGAAGAGGTTTTATTAGAAATATATATTCTCTTGCAGCGTTACAGGCCAAATGATCATTGTACAAAATATGATTAATGCTTTGTGCTTTAGCAGTCAGTTCTGCAGGTTATGCAGGCAGCACCAGGTAATGACTTTTAGATTTATATTTTAGCAGTCTGAGAGCACTTAGCTCTCTCACTATAATACCGAATATCAACATTTATTACAAATATTGTAGGAAAAAAAACTGCTTCGCTGTTAAACACTAAAGACCTCAATGTGCTGAATCAGACAAGCTAAAAAAACCTTTAAAAAATGAACTTACTCAAAAAAGTGTTCAACTAATAAAATCAAAAGCACAGGCATCACTATGATTTGTATATGGTTACTCACTTGTCAATTAAAATCTAATGACTGGTACATTAAATAGCATGGTTTCCTTTTACTCAAGTCCAGTCCTTAGCCCTCTCGAAAGCAGACTCTCTCATTGCCGGTGCAGTGAAGTTATTCCAGGCAAACAGGGAAGGAACAGCTCCACTTTTAAGGCGGCTGGTGGTGAATCCGCTAACAAAATCCTCCGGTGTGAAGTGGCGGCTACATACGGAAGTGCTCCCCGTCTTTATGCAAAAGTCCGGACCTTCATCTCTTCGTGTCGCCTGGATCCACTGCCTCCGTTGGTCCGGGTCCGTCGGGAACGCATGATATGACAGATAAGGCTGTTTTCTTGCCCCACATGAACAACCAGAGACTGAACAAAAACAACTGCGCCGAGACTGAGCCATTTTCCTAGCCTTTTAATGCTAACGCTATAGCCACCGGAAGTTGTCCAACCCCACATCCGCTTTCAAACACGGAAGCGTGAAAAAGGTCTATTGGAAAAGGGTGAATAGATCCCTACAGGCCTGCAGAAAGTCTCCACCCATCTGAAGATCTGAAGTATCGTGGTGTGTCATTCATGAGTGATGGTGAGAAGGAGGAGACAGATTGAAGACTTGAAGTAGAACTGCTGCTCCGCTAGATCAAATTCTGAGACCTCATCAGACATCATCCTTAAAGCCCTGCACAAACTACGCAAATATCAAACTCACACAGGATCTGAACTAGTCACACCATGCAAGCTGAATAAGACAGCAACTCCTTTTGCACTGTTCAGCTGATCATGCCAGACTGCATGACTGAGTTGCTGAAGAAATACAAGAAAGAAGATGCTACAGACAATGGTCTAGTCCATGGCAAGAAGTTACAGGTGTTGATAAGCTTTTTATTGCAGTTGGATAAGGGGGGAAAAAAGGAAAGGATGAAGAAGCAGCACTTGTGGATGAGAATCAGTGACATCAGTCAAAGCAGCCGTCACAGCACAGTATTTCCAGGACATTTGTGACGCTGCTTGATATTTACGGGTCATCCTTGTTTCAGAAAGTGCTTTAGATGTGGTCACTGCATCTGTCACACCAAGCAACAATAGACGATTGTATATATTTTTTTCTGCAACGAAAGATTTTGTCTTAAAAATAATATTGTCACAGTATAAACCCATCCTTGGAGGTTTTGAAAGTCTGTCCCATTGTAAGAAGGAATGACCCAGATGTAGCCCACACAGTGAAACATTGAAAGTTAGTTCCCGAGTATTTCAAGTGTTGCTGAAGTCTTCACCTCACTACTCTGAAGAGACAACAGGTAGACCACAACTCACGTTAGAATTTTTATTTGCCTTCTGACAAGTGCATCCTTTGGGGTTGCACCAGTGTGGGCTGGATAGTGTCTCCAGGAAGAAAGTTCACTGGGTTTCCAGTGAAACCTGTTACATTCACAATCCAATTTAAGATGAATGCAGTGTAATGAATGGGTGGATATTCCTTTGATTTCAACAAGAGCTGCACAATATTGATAAACTTTATGCTTGCAGAAATGCATACCGCAGTCTCGCTGTTCACTCTTCGTTCAAGTTTATATTTATGGAAATTTTGTTCTCAGCCACATCCATTTCAGCCACATTTTCTGCAAAAAGTACTTTTGGAGCAAAAGTACTCTTTTCACACTTATAAATATTTGGCCACTTGTTGCCAATAAGTGCCCAAATATTTATTGAACTATTTAACAGAATTAAGTGTTAAGTACAGATTGTTTTCCCCAAGAAAACAATCTGTTTGTCATTATTGTGCAAGATTTCCAGTTATTGGTGTTACAGATGGAACGCCATCATCGTTACTGTATATAGTCTAGTCTTCCTGTTTTGATGGCTGTTTCCCAAAAAGTGTTTCATAACTACAACTTTGTTTTCAAAAACAATGAAAAGATTGATTGTGACTTACTTAGATTTTATACTTTTAAAGTTTTAGGTTGTCTGACTTTGAAATATAATAGATGTTCTTTAATACCACCATACCCTGAAACAGTTTTTAGGGTATGTGTTTTTTTTCAAAGGTTATCATCAAAACCTTATACTGGAGTATGTTTACACAGTATTCAAATAAATATCTCTGCAGATCAAAAACTGCAGCTCTCTAAAGAAAAAAAACACTTTGAAAGCATAGATTCCCTCCCAGTGGAAAGGCAGTAAATCCAATCATAAAAAATACAATAAACACAACCCTGATGACCACCAGGACACTGCAAGACATCTTATTCCTTTGCATCAGTAATCTGATTTGGAAATAAGATATCGAGTTTTTTTTTTTATAAATGTTGAATGATTAAATATTGTAAACTCTTTTTGCTCATACCTCAAACCTTTAAAAAGAATCCTCACACCAAAGCTTTTGCATCCACAAAAAACTCCTGTTGGTCAATAAGCTGCTTATTTGTAATAGAAAAATAAACTTTTGTTGCTGGAATTTTCCAATGTCATCCATATCAGATTAGTGTGTAAGGGGAAAAAAATAAAGATGTATATATTTCTTCCAAATTTAGTGACTGTTTTCTGTTGCAGAACATGGTTATAGTTTATTTTGAGACTGGTACTAAAAAAAAATAAAAAATAAATAAATAAAACATTGTTGGTCACCATACTTTAAGAGAACAGAAGTCGTCCAATATTTCCTCGTACATGAAGGCAAGAAAAAAACCCTGCAGATCTCCCTTAAGGAGGATAAGGTTGTTGATTTATCTGCTGAGTTATGTAGTCAGGAAATCTCATAGTATGTCTAGAAACACCATGAGATCTCCAAGGAGGAGAAAGAAGTTAGTACACAAAGAACAAAATGGATTGTAGGATGTTGTCAGAGTGAACATGACCCAGATGAGAAGAAACGGATGAGACCGGCTTCCTTTTAGCAACCGTTTCTTGTTTTTATTGTAAAAATTATTATTTTTAAAGTTCACTGTTAGACTTATGTGCCAGTGTCATATTTCTACACTGAAATATAATGATATAAAAGCAAAAAAAAATATTTCTAAACATGCACAAAATAGAAAAAAATAGAGGAGAATATAAGACATTAGTCAAAGTAAAATGCTGCTGGAATAGAGTTATTTTTGACAGTAACAAAAAGAAATAACACCAGACTGAATTAAAACTGGAAGGTGATAGAGATAAAAGAGCGATGGGGAGCAAAGAACAAGAGAAAGGGCACAGAGATGGGATGACAATCAGAGCAAAGAGAGCTCATTTCACACACGCAAGTTCAAAGCTGATGGAGTTCGCGCTTGTTGCAATGGAGTGAAGGAACAGAGGGAGGGAGGAGAAGAAAAAAAAAGACTTTGATTTCATTTGGCAGACTGAGACTCCATTTCACTCCCTCTATCAAAAAGGGCAAGAAGCATGGAGCGCACGCTGCCACAAAATCAATACAGACATAAAGAGCAAGGAGACAGAGATAAAGAAAGTGATAGATGTGGAGAAAGTTTAAAATAAAAGTGGAGAGAGAGGGTGAGTAAATGCAACCAGAAGTTGGAAGTATGCTGGATGGAATGATGTGGAAAGAGGTGACATTTCTCCAAGGGAGCCCACTCTGTGGGGTGGACAGAGCCACAGGATGTTTTTGAAGCCGATGGTTGGCTTCAGGAATAAAAAGACACCTAATTGACTGTACTGATATCAGCTGCAGAAGACTTGTCACATATAAATCTGCAGGGCTTCACCTCCTGGGTTGCATGATAAGTGCACTTAAAAAGGAGTTTTGAGAATCTTTTGATATTGTTGCTTTGGAACATTACAGCCCTGAGCAGCGAAGTTTGCACATCAGCGAACACTTGACAGCTAAACAGAGCTTGGCTTTGTTAAAGTGTTATTCCCATATGAAACAAGGGCGACATCACATTTTAAAATAGACTAACTTCAAGCAGCTATACGTCATTGTATTTGCATCTATGACAAGAATTTACAGAAGGATTGCCAATTAAAAAGTTAAAGGAATTCCAGCTATTTGTTTCAAATATACCTTAGCCAATATTTGCCAACATATTATTCCAACATATTATTCAAATATCAAAATTCTTTCTATCTACTCAAGACTTCAAATGTGTTTATGTGCAACTTTTGATATCATGATGACATAAAGACAGAAAATGAATGAATATATATATATATATATATATATATATATATATATATATATATATATATATATATATATATATATATATATATATATATATATATATATATATATATATATATATATATATATATATATATATATATATATATAGGCTATATAGGTGCAACTGAAACAAGTTCAGCAATATTTCATTCTCTCTACCAGGCATTCGTATAAACAAAAGGTTTTCCACAGGATTTGAGCACCTGGCTGCAGGAAACTGCTCCTTTCCCTGCCAGGAAAGGATTAGGTGAGGGCAGAAACTGGTGCAGGTGATAATGCCTGCCTCACTGTTGTCGGTACTCTCACTCCTCCTGAAGCTGTCTGGGGTTAGAGCTTTGTGAAGGCCCCTGAAGGGCTTCAACAACAAGTTCAGATAAACAGAGGAAAATCCTCTGAGAAAAAGAGAACTGTGTAAGACAACCATGGCAAAGTTACATGCTGTAGAAATTGAACTTTA